AAACCCATCACTTAGAAGACCCTGGAGTAACAATAACAACAATAGACAATAATCATAGTACAAGATACCCGAAGCATTAGGGATGCAGGATTTAGCATTGGGGGTTGGGGTCTCTGCGTTTGGGCCCATTTCAGCCCCTTAGAGACCCATATAACCCCTTATAAATCAAAGTTTTCTAGCACCCCATAAAAAGACTTCCACAGTGCGTGAATCCCTCTAGCAACACCCACAAAACACTGCAATACCCATGATTCCTTGCAAAACCCTAAACCCTAAACCCCGAAATCCATGAAGCCAGGTCCATCCGCGACATTTCGCTCTCCTCACTTCTCGTGGTGGTCCTGCTGCGTGTCGCATCCTAGCTGCAGATTGACCTGGTAGGGTGTAGGGTTTAGGGTGGTTCAAGGTGCAAAGCTTAGATGGTTTAGGGGAGTTTAGAGTGTATTGTTTAGGGCTTTGTAGGGTTTTGTTAGGATCTGAACGTTGTTGTTGGGTGCTACCGGGTCTGTTGCAAGGTATCAAAGAGTCGCACAACGGTCTTTATCTAAACCCTGAGCCCAAAGCCCTAAACCCGAAGCCCTAAGCCCTAAAACCCAAAGCCCAAAACCCTAAGCCCGAAACCCCAAAACCCTAAGCCCTATAAGCCCTAAACCCGAAGCCCTAAGCCCTAAACCCCGAAACCCTAAGCCCTATAAGCCCTAAACCCGAAGCCCTAAGCCCTAATCCCCTAAACCCAAAGCCCTACTCCCTAAGCCCTAAGCCCTAGTTTGGGGTTTGGGGTTTAGGGTTTGGGGTTTTGGGGTTTAGGGTTTTGTCGTTTAGGGTTTTGGGTCCAGGGTTTCCTTACCCTGGCCCTGTAACCCCATCACAGCAGGCGCCATATAAAAGCAGCCTCGAATAAAGACCCAGGGTTAAGGGTTTGGGTTTTTGGGGTTTAAGGGTTAAGGTTTAGGGTTTCAATGCCTAAAACCCAAACCCTAAACCCTAAACCCTAAATCCTAAACCCTAAACCCTAAACCCTAAAACCCAGTCCCTAAACAGTTATTTCTCGTTATACCCAGGGTTCCAGCAGTCTCGGGGCCTGGCCGATGTGCCGATACCCCGCCCGATACCAGGGTTTAGGGTTTAGGGTTTAGGGTTCAGGGTTTAGGTTTTAGGGTTTAGGGTTTAGGGAATTTTCGCAAGGGGTTGAAACGGTTCAGGGTTGAGGGAAGTTCCAGTGCGCCTTGGGGGTTAGGGGCTTCGGGGTCTGTGAAACGTTTTATCTAGGGGTTTAGGGTTTAGCGGTTTAGGGTTTAGGGTTTGGGGTTGCAAGGGATCAAAAGGGTCTTACATGAAGCAGTGGGGTTTCGGACTATGTCACACCAAGCCCTCAGCACCTCAAACCCGGAACGACCTCCGAAACCAAAGAGCGTTTAAAGATTTGTAGACCCCTTCTAGAACCCTAAACCCTAAACCCCAAACCCTGAGCCCTAAACCCCTAAATCCTAAATCCATAAGCCCCTAAACCCTTACAGACTCCGACACCCCTAACCCCCTAAGGCGCACTGGAACTTCGGCGCCGGCCGAGATTCGTTGGGCCCTCGAGCTGTGTAAAGAAACGCTGAGGCCTTCCCGGCTTCCGGTTTAGGGCTTAGGGAAGCAACCCTAGGAAACCTTATCACGAACCCCAAAAGGAGCCCTTAAAGGAGCCCCCAGAAGGAGCCCTTAGAGGAACCCCTAAAGGAGCCCTTAAAGGAGCCCCAACAAGAGACAGGAACCCCCAACAAGGGGCCCTTAAAGGGATCCGAAGCCCTAAGCTGAAGCATTCCATGCTTTGGGTTTTTGGCTTGAGGCTTTGGGTTCAGGGTTTAGGGTTTAGGGTTCAAGGTTTCGGGTTTAGGGCGTAGAGCTTTGGGTTTAGGTTCTAGGGTTCAGGGATCAGGGTTGATAGGGTTTAGGGTTGGGGGTTTAGAGTTAGGGCCCAGAGTTTAGAGCTTAGGGCTCGGGGTTTAAGGCGGTTTAGGACTTAGGACTTAGGTTTTTTGGGATACAGGGGTTCGGGCTTGGCTTGGGGTCAGCGTTCAAGGTCAACCTCAACCCCCAAATCGGGTCCGGGAAGGGTTTGCGCGTACAGCTTAGAGGGTACACTTTAGGGTTTCTTGTCGGGTGTCTGAGACCCTCAACCCTAAACCCTAAACCCGGTGGGGTTTTGATAAACTGGCGAGGGCCGTGTTCGCGTGGCGAATGGCCGTTCACAGTATTTCCGGCTCCAGCTCCCGCTCGAGCCATCGCAGCCTTCCTGACGGATGAGCACGCAGACTTTCTGGAACGTGAACCTTACAATCTATGGGAATCGACGTTCCCCAGGGAAGCAGTGCGGAAGCTGTGTGAAGCCAAGCCGCTCGAGCTGACGCAGATCCTCGCCGAGCCTTCCTCCAACGGCACATGCAGTGACCACTGGAGCGTGGCTTTGAGGTACTGCACTCCCTATAGCGATCAAGTCTGGTGGTGGAACCAAAGACGCGATGCCTGGGAGAGCGAGAGAAAGATGACCACGTGTTGGGCCGTCGGCTCCACTTTGGCGCGCAATGCGCTCAACGAGCTGGCGAAGACTGTTAACGATGGCATACGTTTCTTGCGCATGTCCTGCCTGTTGCTGAACCAAAGATTTTTGTAGGGTGTCTTGTGCTAGGGCTCGGCACATGGGCTGTTTCGGCTTCGGGGTTCAGTTAGGAGACTTGAAATGGGGCTTTGAGTTTAGGGTTCTATGGAACTTAGCAAGCAAGGCCTTAAGGCTCCAACGGCTCTTGGCTTTTAAGTTGTGTGATCCGAAGACCATGCTCTCTTGTGAGTGCGATCTTATTACAACATTTGATCTACGTACACGCCTGCTTAAAGTCAGCTTACCGTGTAGGGTGCAGGGTTTCAGCTTCCTGTCTCTCGTTGTTCTCAGTGTCGTGCGGGAGGCTTGCAACTCCTAGGGCATGGATTATTTGCTGTAGCGGTTTCAGCACATGGGGCTTCAATATCCCTGAACCCTAAACCCCCTAACCCTGAACGCTGGTATAGTTTATGTCGGGCACGAATTTGCGGGTTTCGGATCTGGGGCTTTCTGGTGGTTTCATCTTGTCAAGATATGAACTCGACGTCGTGTCTCTTCTGGATTCTCACTCCTGCCTCAAACATGGAAACCCTTACCTCTAAGCCTTAGAAGCCTAAACCTTCCTCCATAACATGCCCCTAAACCCTAGACCCGACTCTAATCTGTAGCAGGTGGAAAAAGGTGCTTACAAATGACACCCAAAACCCCAAAACCACCCTAAACGCCAAATCGTGGCCGAGGTTCTTCAACCGTGCAATTGCAGGCACGCTGGGAAATCTCGCCGGGCACGGTGTCGAGCATGCCGCTTGCCACGGAGGAGTGCCATAACATGCACGGTGAAGGGTTTAGAGCTTACCCCAAGGCTCCATTATTCCAAAAGCCTCATAGGGTATGGTGTTTGGGCGCAAAAGCCTTAAAATATGAGTCATATGAGTCCTTCGGGCCTTAGAGCTTTGGGTTTTGGGCGTTCTTCATACACCCTCAACCTTTAACCCAAAACCCCAAAACCCCAAACCGTACACCCCAAAACCCTAAATCCTAGACCCTAAACCCTACATCTTAAACCCTAAACCTTAAATCCTAAACCCCAAAGCCCTGAATCCTAAACCCCTAAAGCCTAAATCCTAAACCCTAAACTCTAAACCCTAAATCCTAAACCCTAAATCCTAAGCCCCTAAATCCGAAACCCTAAATCCTAAACCCTTCGGATTCCCTTTAAGGAGATCCTGGGTCCTTCTGCCCATATGCGGGTTTAGGGTTTAGGGTTTATGGCACTCTGACTGTTAGGCGCTTCTTCATGGAGATTAAGGGTTCAGGGGTTTAGGGTCTAGGGGTTTAGGGGTTTAGGGTCCAGGGTGTCGGATTTAGGGTCTAGGGGCTTTGGGGTTTAGGGTAGAGGGGTTTAGGGTTTAGGGTCACGGTGGCAGAGCTTTCATGTTTGGGAGTCTAGCCTTCAAGCTGCACGTGCTCTTCATCACGAGGGCACTGGACCTATAGGAGGGGTTTCCTTTTCGTTTGCGTCTAAGACATGCGGCGTATCTGAGGCTTCTGAGATTGCGGAAGGAGTTGCTGGGCCTGGTAAGACATAATAGGCCATCTGGTTCTTAAGACGTTGTGGGGGAAGACGGACTCAACCCAACCGCCAAACCCTGAACCATAAAACCTAAACCTCCAAAACCCGTCACAGCACCAGGATCCTCCAGATACTCTTAGTGGAACTCCTGCAGTCCTCGAGAGCAAGAACCTTAAGCGATCATCGAAGGGTAGTTCAGGACCTAGGAAATCCAAAATCAGAATCTTTTCGCTAGGTCCCAGCCTACACTGAAAAGTTACGTCAGCAAATGCAACAGAAAGTGGCGACAATCTGAGGTGCATTGGCATGCCGCGACGCGAATGCTCGAGGTGCGATGCGAACCCTCGACATCCCTAGCCGGTTTTTCATTGCCCCAACCTTGTCCCTAAACCCTTTGAACAATCCCTAAACCGTAACTAGCTGGTGTTCCAACCAAACTAGGCCTGAAAAGCTTGGGGCTTCGAAGCTCAAGCTTCGGAAGCCGTAAACCCTACCAGCACCCACGACTGGAGGCCACGGGCTTAGACTAAATGTACCTAGCGGCACATCAAGAATTTATAGGCCACACCCGCTAGGCCACGCAGGTAGGCCACACGAGAACCTGATTGTCCACACTCATTGGCCACACCCATTGGCCACACCCGTGGGCTAGCATCACTTCTAGACGCTAGTAGGCCAAGCCTGCAGGCCACACCGAATAGCCACACCCATTGGCCACACCCACCGGCTAATATCAGTACTAAACGCCAGTAGGCTATACAAGCAGGCAGGCCTTACACACAGAACCATTGGCCACACCCAAAACCCTAAACCCACACCCATTGGCCACACCTGTTGTCTCTCGCAATAGCTTGGTGTCCGTGTCAAACAAAGACCACTTGGCCACGCCAGTACTTGGAGGTTCATGGGTAGTTACAAGTAGGGTTAGAAGTCCCCTAATATGGGTTATAACTATAGTTACCCTACTTATAACCCCACTTATAACTACCCATGAACCTCGAAGTAAGTGCTAAACCCTAATTATAAACCCTAACCCTAAACCCCTAAGCGCCACACGTACGACGGCTCGACTCCGACGTGAAGAGAGCAAGCCATGGCGGGAGTACTTGGGGCAGGAACCGCTTGGTGCTTTTTTTTAGGAGGCGTCATGATTTTAGGGTTTAGGGTTTAGGATTTAGGGTTTAGGGTTTAGGATGCTTCATGATGTCTCCTTTGCCACAGCCTGAGGGTGCGGAATGGGTCTACGAGATATAGATGCTCGTGGCTGCTCTGTTGACTGCATGCCGCGTGCCACCGCCTCAGCATGGTACAGCAAGCTCTTGGCGATGAGAAAATCGACGTCTTGCTCTTCTTTCGACTATATTATCTATGAGATGTGCCTATCTTGTCGGGGCTTCCCTCTGTATTGGTTCAGAAAAGCGCATGACGTATGCTGGGGATGGCAAGGGAAGGTGCGCAGCAACTCTCCCTAAAGCTGGTGATGGACCCGCATGTGCGTAACTAAGTTCCCACAGTCCTGAACCCATAAACCCTAGGGTTCTAGGACTGAGACTCACAAGCCTCAAAGGTTTAGGGTTTAGAGTTTAGGGTTTGGGGGTTTGGGCTTTAGGGTTTAGGGTTTAGGTTGCTAAGAATAACCCCATGACCCTTTAAGTGGAGGTATGTGAGATGCCCAGGAAGACCGTCGCGCGGAGTTGCAGACTAGTACTATCGCATCCTATGAAGTCAAAAAGCACCGACACCCTAAACCTTCCCGAGCTCTATAGATCCCTCAAACGAGGAGCCTTTAAGCCCTAAACCCTAAACCCTAAACCCCTAATCTCTAAACCCGATGTCTCGGTGGAGGTGGCTGGGCTTCTGGCGCGCAATGCCGTGAAAGCCCCCACTCCGGTCGACAGCTCAGAGTCGGGGATTAGTAAGGGTTTGGTAGGGTTTGGGGTTTAGGGTTTGGGGTTTGGGGTTTAGGGTTCGGGGTTTGGTAGGGTTCAGGGTTCAAAGGGGGTTTAGGCTGAAGGAAGGTGCATGGTTTAGGGTCTGATTAAGGGTTAAGGCAGCTGTAAATTTTGGGAATTAAGGGGCTTTAGGGCAAGTTGACGATATAAGCATAATGGGGTTCGATAAGTGTACGATGTCCGAAATGCCGCCTAAGGTTCCAAGTGCCCATAGAGTATAAGTTATGTACGTTGTCCGTGAACGGCCTCCCATCTCATGATCCAAGCACAAGCAAGATGAACTCACCTAGACGCAGATGGCATGCAGGGCTGATGGCTATAATGCATTTGGGGTTTTCGGTCCCAAATCACTGTGCGCTGCATGGCTTTTGGGATTTTGGTCCTCGAATTCTCAGGCGAATATGACCCTAAGCTACAAACCCCATGACCCCATGACCTTAAAGTTGAAGGCCCAAACTTCTGTAGCTACACCCTAAACCCTATACCCCTAAACCGCTAAATCCTTTAACCCCTAAGCCCCTAAACCCTAAACCCTAAACCCCTAAATAAACCCCTAAACCAATAAACCCCTAAACCCTAAACCCCTAAACCCCCAAACCCTAAACCCGTAGGATTTGGACCATGTCTTCTGCTAGGCCCGAGGCGCGGCGGACGAAGGGGAGCTCCATCGTTCCAGGAGCTCTGGTGCCCCAAGGGCTCCTTAAAGGAAGGGTCTAGGGTTTAGGAATTTGGGGTCAAGATTTAGGGTCTAGGGTTTAGGATGTAGGGTTTCAGATTTAGGGTTTAGGGTTTAAGATTTAGGGTCTAGGGTTTAGGATTTAGGGTTTTAGATTTGGGGTTTAGGGTTTAAGATTTAGGTTCAGGGTTTAGGATTTAGGGTTTAGGGTTTAGGGTCTAGGATTTAGGGTTTAGGGTTTAGGATTTAGGGTTTAGGGTTTAGGGCCCTTCAGCCCTGAGGAACCCTGGAAGGACAAGGAACCCTTAAGAGTTCCTTTCAGTGTACTTCCTTGAAGGGCTTTTCGGTTTAGGGTTTAGGGTTTAGGGTTTAGGGTTTAGGGTTTAGGGTGCTTTTCGAAGGGTTCTTATGGTTTAGAGTTCATGTATGGTTTACTGTAGGGTTTATACGGCTTCCGTTCATTCATGCTAAGGTTCCTGTCATGAGGGCCAGTGGGAGACCTCTAATGATTTCCGGCCTTGTGGGTCTCATTTAGAAAAGTTTGAAGTCTTTAAGACCCGCCTATGGAAGAAGAGAGCCAAAGAGTCCTAAGCACCTGTATGGGAAACAAGTATCCAAGTGGTTATAGGGTTTAGGATTTAGGGTTTAGCGTTTAGGATTTAAGGGTTTAGGGTTTAGGGAGCAACACAGATGTGATGGCCAGACCTCTCAGTGCGTGCTCCCGACCGTCGGGAAGGCTGTGAAAGCTTCAAGCAGCACCGGTATCAGTGCGCCGTGCTCCGAGCGTAGGCTATGCAGACCAGGGTTTAGGGTTTAGGGTTTAAGGTTTAGGGTGTAGGGTTAATGTTCATGGCATGGTGAATGCAGGTACTTAGACCCTTGCAGCTTGGTTGGTTTGGGAGTTTTTCTCTAACGCATCCCAAACCCTACACGCCCTTAAAGCAGCCCTAAATCGTGAACTTTGGGCCCAAAGCCCTGTCAAAAGAGCCCTGCATGACGAAGTCTACGTTCGTCACTTGAAGCTCTCTGCGTCCTGAAACTTTAACACCAAAACATACTTGTATGTAAGAATCCTAAATCTGATGGAGAAGTCTGGATATTTAGTACGATTTTGATCGAATCTTGACTTTAATCTTAAGCTTAACGTTTCCATCAAAATCCCCCCAAGGCGATAGTTCCAATGATTCAGGCCCTTTTGGTACCTGCACGCCAAAAAAAAGAATGCCTGAAAATTGCCAATACTATTCTCGAGGTATCCTTACTTAAAAAAACTAAGAGAACTACCTACATTGCAGCGTTAGAGGCAGCCTCTGCGCAGGATGGTGAAAGCTCTGCTCCGTTCCCTGCTGAGGCACGAGTGGAAGACTGTGCAGAGTTTCCTTGGCTTTGGGCTTCTGGCATTTATGCCTTCTGAAGGCCGTCTTTACCCATAGGCCCCATGGTAGTGCCTTGCTGTGGCTTATATGTAGGATCCTATCAGTTAATCCCAAAAGGGAACTAGAGAGTATTATGGCCCATGCTGCTTTTTGGGCTTCATGGCCCCCCCCAATCATGGATTTTGGCCTTTTGAGGTTTCTGGATGGATGGTGCTGCTGGTCGCTCTCTTGGACCTGGTTGATGGATGAAGGATGTGACAGGAAAGGTGCTTTTTCGAAGTCCCTTGTGACATGAAGCAGCGGGCGGCTCCAGCAAGAAGGAGCCTCTTGACATGGTGCGGGCTGCCATAGCAACTGGACAGGTCATCGATGTCGACCAGGATGCGAAGGATTGCACGAGGGCAGTACGATCAGAACAGAAAAAGCAAAGTGGGTTGCACGGACGTTGTTCTTTTGGCGGTTTGTTATTGACATTTATGGGTTCAGGGGCACGAGATCGAGTTTCTCGCTTGAAATGAAGCACGCTGAAAATTGACGGGAGCAGGTCAGCCGTGTAGACACAAAGACCACTGACGATCCTACCTACTCTCCGATACTACTGCCCTGCTTTTTCACCGAAGCATTGACTCTGGAACTGATCTTCCTGATGGGGGGGCTCTGTTGGGGACCCTTTTCGGGTCTTCGTCGAGTCTTGGTAGTTCTCATCCACAGGTTCGTGAGTTGACACTGTCCTTGCATAATGTAGGGGCCTAAATAATTACCAATACTATTTTGGGGGTTCCTGAGGATAGCTACAGCATAAGGGGCCCCAAAACCGTATTCTAATTAATAAGGCCCCCATATTGCTGGCGCGTCTCCAGTTGGATCCTTTGCATCCTTGATCAGTTTTTTGGGGATGCTGGCGTATCAGGCCCAAGAGAAACCGCAGAAACAAACAATAGCTACTATAGCCGTGTGCTTCTATCTCGTCACAGGGCCTGAAGCAGATAGGTCTTTCTTGTTGGCGACGCTCGATAGGGGGTACAACTGAACAGTACATCAGGTTAGCTACAAACCCCAAGCCCCAAAATCCTAACCTGAATTCTACATAAACCCAAAGCCTAAATCCTACCGCCTACACCCCCAAAACCCCCTAACCACCCTAACCCCCCTAAACCCCGCTAGACCCTAAACCCTAAGCCCTAAACCCTAAACCCTAAACCCTAAACCCTAAACCCTAAGCCCTAAACCCTAAACCCTAAACCCTAATCCCAAACCCCTATAAACCCCCAAACCCCAAACTAAACTCCCGAGATCCTTTGAGAAGGTTGGTCTCCAGCTGCCTGCGCAGCCCGCGCGTGTCACTCTGGCACGGTTCGTTTCGAAGCACCCAGAAAGGGATTTGGGGTTTAGGGGTTTAGGGGTTTAGGGGTTTAAGGGTCTAGGGGTTCGGGTTTAGGGTTTAGGGTTTAGGGAGCCTCAGATTGTCTAGTTTATAAGGAAGATATACCTTAACTGCATCATTAAGTCATTAAGAGCCCAGTATCCTTGACTCAGTTTTAGAAGAAGTACACCTTAAGGGGTGTAGCGTGGGCCGACCCACAGTTCGCATGGGAGGTTGCAGAGAGCTCTCTGCCTTGAGATGTATTCCCGGCTTAGTCTTGGTTTTTCCGCGGGGGTCGTGCTCCAGGGGCTTAGGGTGTAGGATTAGCAAATGATGCCGTAAGGGGCCTCAATATAAATTATATAATATACCTATATTCATGGTTCAGGCTACTACATTAGAGGTATGTAGAGCTGCCCATGTGATTCGGCGTGTGAAGTTGGTGTTTCGTTGTGGTTCGGTGAGCCGCGCCAGAACCTTCGGGGTCGAACGGTTGAAGCTTCATGGGTAGTTTTCTAAATTAGGATCCCTTTTGGGGTCCTTTTTATAAGGGTGCCGTACTGTATTGGGGACCTTATTTTAGAGAACTACCTTTGTGCTTCAGAGTTGCGGCTCCAGGCTTTCTTTAATGTTTCGGGAAGCTGGGGTCCTTCACCACAGCACCTGCTCCTCAAGAGATTGCATCTCGTGCTTCAGCTTCGCTTCTGCCAGTGCACGGCCCCTACGCCAGTAGAAGCAGTATCCCCTATAATCCTGTTGAGTCCTTTTATTCTACTGATTAAGACCCCTGCAATCCTAAGCTGGCCTGTCTATAACGAGAGACAGAAGGGCTCTAGACATGGGGGCCTAAATAGAGTCAGTAAGCCCTAGAATTCCCCAGTATACGGTAATCCTGAGGGTTCCCTAATGTACGTAGAGTATGAGGCTCCCCCCCTCACCCCAACAAGCCCACTTCTAAGAGGGTTTAGGGTTTAGGGTTTAGGGTATCTCAGCAGAATGCCGCAGTGCCAACAGTATACATATGTGCAGGGCAGACGCTTGAACTTCGAACGCCTGGAAGATCCTGTCCCCTTTCCTCCCTCAACCGTTTCAGGACGACGAACACACAACTCGTCTACGCGCTTCAGAAGGACTATCCGGCACAGCCAGGAGCTAAGCTGCTTCAGGGTTGTTGAAGTATGTAGCATTTAGGGTTTTTAGGCTTGGAAGCTCAGGCTTCGGAATATGAGTTTAATGTTTTTGTTTGTTTCATGTCGGTGTGCTAGGACCTCAACTTGGATGGTGCTGTAGGGAAGTTGTGACTACCACGACGCATGAACCCGCTAAGAGACAAGAAGCGCTGACAACCTTAGGACGCGAATGTGGGCATCATCATCGCTGAAGCCCCATGTAGCGGTCGTGTCTCGAATGTATTCTTGCAAGTTTAAGAGACTAGGGGAGTGCGACAACTACACCGTCAGCAGCCAGGGCTCCTAACACTACCACGATCGTGTCGGCGACCACCACCACGACCACGACATGATGACGACGACAACTACGACTACTAGTGCTGCTACTACTACCACTACGGCCACTGCTACTACTTCTAATACCACTACTGATACTACTGCTACGACGACGACTACTACTACCACCACCACCACGACGACGACTACTACTGCCACCACCACTACTACTACTACTACTACTACTACTACCGCCACTACCACCACTACCACTACCACTACTAATCATACTCCTACTCCTTCTCCTGCTGCTACTACTACTACTACTACTACTACTACTGCTACTGCTACTACCACTACCACTACCATTACCACTACCACTACCACTACCACTACCACTACCACTACCAGTGCTACTACTGATACTACTACTACTACTACTACTACTACTACGACTACTACTGCTGCTACTACTACTACCACTAC